TGTGTTTGTGTGTGTGTGTGTTTGTGTGTGTGTGTGTTTGTGTGTGTGCACAGTGGGTGATTGGAACATTCCAAAAAAAACCAAACAAACCTGTATTATAGGCTCATTCAATGCTTTGTTTGTGTGTGAGTGTGTGGCACATTGAGAATGTTGTATAGGCTCACCCCTTCATTTATGTGTATGTATGATCTGCATTGTGTTGGCTTAATTGATTCCTATTGGACAAATAAAAAAAAAATGCTCTGAATTACAGTATTTCCCATTCATTTCCTATGGGTGCCCACTTTTGTCCATGAAGGACAAATTAAGGAGGTTTTTGTTTTTTATTCAACCACTTAACTTTGTTGAATCGAGTTCATTTTGTGTGTGTGTGTGTGTGTGTGTGTGTTCAGGTGGCAAACTTAGGAAAAGTAGCCAAGTCTTGTACCGCTCAGATTAAGGAAACTATTAAAAAAACAAAATGATTTTGCCCACATTTGTCCAGGAGGATGCTTGAGGGTTAAAACACTCTCACAGGTTAATTGTATTTGTGTACAGTGAACAGTACATGTATCGCATGACAATCCTGTCATTTCCAGCACATCTCAAATCATGTTTTTTTGTGTCACATTGTGCGATGGGAATTATGTTTAAAATTTGTTTGGAATTGAATCATGACATCCTAATGTCACGGATACAGTTTTATGTAGGCAAAATGCACCTAATTAAGTCATGTTTTCACACTTTTTGCATAATTTTGACTGAATTACAGCTTGTTCGGAAATTACAATAGAAATTTCAAGTTCTGGATGAGAATAAATAAATTAAATCTATAGATAACAGGCATGTGATGCTAAGACATGTTTTGTTGTGATATCACAAAAAGAAAAAAAAAGCCTTAGGAACTTAAAAGTGCTCTAAGTGAAACAAAAAACAGAATTGAATGTCTGTAACTCAAATTTGATTTAGACTTTATGTAGCCCCGCCCCTTTTCAGCTCCTTGCTCTTCGTCTTCTGTCTTCCGGTTGTATTTCCCCAGCGTTATGGTAAGGTCGTACGAATTTATGAATGAACCGCTCGTTTTAAAATCGTCCAGGTCTACTGACATTTGACATCCGATTCAAACATTATGGACTTGATAACTTTAGTTAAGTCTACACTATAAATCCACTTCAACAGCGATGCCATAGAAATGCAAAAACGGAAGTTCAAAGACAAAATTCTAAATTTAATCTACTACTTGTCTAAATGGTGTAAATTTAACTGTAAATGTTTATTTTAATTTTTTGGAGATGAAAAAGTAAAAAAAAATTTACATTCGGTGTGACACATTTGATGCTTTTTCATTTAAATAATTTTGTTTATTTTATCAGTTTCTTCTTACGTTTTTATGTTTGTTTCTTTTTAGTTTTTACTTAGTTGTTACAAAACAGGTTTTAGTATTTTGGTATATTAACATTATTTCAGTTAATGAAATATTTTTTTACTGTAAATTTAAGTTAAATGCATAAAATTGGCAACCACAGCTGCCTTTTTTACTGTAAATTTCATTATTACTATTTTTTAACAACGTAATGTTAGGTGCCAAGATTGCTGTTCAAATTATTATTATTATAATTTTTTTTTGAAAAGCATTTCTCAAACAGTAAAACTTGACACTAGCAACACAAAGATCTTGGGTTTCATTATCAGGGAATGAATGGACCTGACAAAATGAAAATGAAAGTTTTACAGCATCTTCTTTTTCTTCTCATGCGTGGCAGTGATTTCATAAACGTAGCTTCTAATTGGTTAACACCCTGCTCTTAAATGACTCTCATTCCTCTTAAATGACTCTCATTCCTCTGATTTTGACGAGTTAATGGGTGTTTTGTGTCTGTGGACGGAAGTCATTGATTCTCTTCAGCTCTTAGAGAAGAGTCCTCTGTTAACCTCTCTTTCAGGTGCATTATTCTGCAGGGTTTACTTCAAAACAACCTCTTATTTGAATGAAGTTTAAGGTGAAGTGTGTCATTTTATTTGGATGTTAAAATACAATCTTTTATTCCAGTTTAAAGCAATAGTTCAACCAAAAATACAATTTGTGAAAATGTCCTCACCCTCAGGTAAGGGCTGGGCAATATGACCAAAAAAATTATCAAAATTATCAAAAGTCAAGTCAACTTTATTTATATAGCACTTTTAACAATACAGATTGTGTCAAAGCAGCTTTACAGTATCAAATAGGAAAATAGTGTTTCAATAATGCAAAAGGACAATGGTAAACACTCAATTTTCAGTTAAAAAATTCAGTTCATCATTGAATTCAGTGATGTCATCATCCAGCTCAGTTCAGTTTAAATAGTATCTGTGCAATCAAGTCGACGATATCGCTGGAAATTAAGTGTCCCCAACTAAGCAAGCCAGAGGCGACAGCGGCAAGGAACCAAAACTCCATCGGTGACAGAACGGAGAAAAAACCTTGGGAGAAACCAGGCTCAGTCGGGGGGCCAGTTCTCCTCTGGCCAGACAAAACCAGCAGTTCAATTCCAGGCTGCAGCAATGTCACATTGTGCAGAGGACTCATCTGGTTCCAGTGGTCTTGTCCCGGTGGTCATCTGAGACGAAGGGACAAGGTCTTTACAGGGGATCTGTATCTGGGGCTCATCTAGTTGTCCTCGTCTCCGCTGTCTTTCAGGGCTGTAGAGGCCGTCTCTAGGTGCTGACCCACCAT